TTTTTTTTTTTTTTTTGTAATCTTCAGTAGCGATCTCTGGGGCTGAGGTTTCCGCAGAAAGTTTGGGGGCTGTTACGGTGTGTATTTTTGCGGAGGGGGAGGGGAGCGGGCTCCTTCTGTGTGTGCTGCTCCTCTGGGTGCCTATTGGAGAATAATAGTGTAAGTGACAACCTAGAAGTAGACTTTCTGCTCTTCACACTGGATAGAAAAGCTGTTAGCTTGTAATGCCCTCTAGAGGCAAAATTGCTATAATAATAGTGTTGGCCGCAAATTTACACTTTTCTGGACCAAATGTGATGCTGTGGTTTTCAAGCAAGAGCTTTTTTTTTTTTTTTTTAATAACCCCCTTTCTCACTTGCTCCTGTAGCACTGGGTGTATTTTTGAAAGGATAGCTAGACTTAAGTCACCCTCCACCTCAATTTAAACCTGCTACTTTATTATTTTTTTAATTATTATTATTATGAATTCCTCGTTTTGAGCGTTACACTTGTCTGATCAATTTGATCTTCAGCTCCTTCCTCCGTTGCTAAACCTCGAAAACTGGCTCTCTCAAAAGATATTTAATCTGGGTTTGTTTTTTTTTTTTTTGTCCATTGCCATTTTTGCTCATGGCTGTTCCTCCCTATCTATTTTTGCCCCTCCCCGCCTAGAGGAAAATAGCAACAAGAAACAAGAGAAAAAAAAAAAAAAAAAACAAAAAAGCGAATATTAGGGGAAGTAGTCCTCAGGTCTGCTGCCCCCCTCTCCCCCCCTCCCAAAAGGGGGGGACCTAGAAAACATCAGTCTTGAACTTCTTCCTCTTCAAGAGCTCGGGCTGCAAAGGAAACCTCCTTTGTTTTTGTTATTTATATGCTGTCAAGTTTTGAAGTGGTGAGTTTCGGGTCGGTTTTGCTAATTTCACTCAGAAAACTGCAGTGTTTCTGTTTCTAGATAAGTACTTTGCTTCTTTGTCTCTTTAAAAGGTCACAGGGAAAGCTTGGCCTGGATTGTGAGAGCCATATGGAACGGATAAGTGCGGAGCCTCTCTCAAATGTGATTACGGGTTTTTATGGGGGAGGGAGGGAAGAGGAGGGGAAAAGGCATGGGGAGGGGGCTGATTCAGGAGGAGAGAAAGAAATAATATAATACCGGCGGCGTTACATCGCGACAAAAGGAGATACCGCACCGACTCTCATTCAGAAATTGCGCGGTGTGCCCGTACGTGTACGCTGTCTCTGGGAAACCGTGCCTTGAAATTATGCTCTTCTCTCGATGCCTGTGATGAAAACTTGTAGTTGGTGAAAGATGCCTAAATGCGAAACCCAGGGAAACTCTTGGCCTGGAACCGGCGTAGATCCTAGTTTTTCCTTGCAACCCTCTCCCTGGGCAGGCCGCGCTGGTTGTTGCTCATCACTATTCCAAACTGAGGTTTCAGTGAACTTTAGCCTTGGGCATGGAGTTTAAATGAGTAAATTAGGTGTTTTATGTGCATGTAATTTTGCTTTGTAACATAAAGCTTTTTACAAGATGACTAAGCGGTGAAAGGATGCCGATGGGTGGGTATTCTCAGGCCAAGCGAAAATGACCCATTTGGTGTTTTGGTTGTAGTCAGTGTATTAACTAAACTGCGATCTATCACTTTTATTCACTGTACATGATGTAGTGCGATTCTGACTCATGATGACTAGATACTTTTTGTAGGAAAGAACCTCGGTGCCTTAGAGTACTTCTGAAGTTGCCAAAAGTGATTTTCTTGTTTGAGGCTTTTTTTGTTTTGTTTTGTTTTACTACCCCCGGTTCTTTTTTTTTTTTTAATTAATCCTCTTATTCTTGAGAGAGACCAGTCTCTCAAAAGAAGCCCTATAATATGTTAGCATCGTCAGAAACATCAGAAGATGTTAACAGTTTGAATCTGTAAATCTTTGCTTAGGCTGCAGTTAACACAGTTAAAAAAATACCTTGCTGAAAAGTGGCTAAAATAGGCACGCTCACTGTTAATGAGACACGCGACCTAAACCAGATGGGTTCAAGATGAGTGGTAAACCTTAGCTTGCCACCTTACAGCATAAGGAAAAATAACGATTTTCTGAACTTCAGCTATTCAGTGGCATTCTTGACGTTGCTTGTAAACGTTCGGATTAATGTATTACCTCTTTCTTCCCTATATCGGGAAAAGCAGCGTGGTGTTCAAACAAGAAAAAAATAGTTTACGGAATTGTCATTGGTGTATATACCACTGACACAGAAGTATATTAAAAAATCCCAAGATGTTTAGGCTTAAATAGCTTTGCTATGAAATATGCAGAAAATGTATTGAATTACTAGGCAACTGAAAGAAAGTAGCAATTATCAGATTCACACCAGTCTTTCTAAATAAGACTTCCCCGGTATTAGGATTTGTACTTGCTGATGTGAATACCAGTTCATAAATTAATGTCTAGTCACCTGTCCTTAGTGATTACATTATATCCATAACATAATTGTCAGTGTAGTCACACCTTTCTCAGTGAGAGAAAGGTAGGGTAAAATACCTAGTGATCACAGCAGTATTGATGAATGAAATCATAACCTGAAAGATGTCTCTCTTCTCAGCACCTGATTTTTTTTTTTCTTAATATAGTTGGCAAAACAGATTCTGATGAGTGACAAAAAATCCTCAAAACTTACTCTGTTATGTTCTAGTCGTAGGAAATTTTTAATGATTTAACTGGAATTGTTATTCATGTTTGGAGGTTTCAGAAGTTTTATAAAAAGGGAAATACAAGCATGTTAACATATACCTTTTCTTAATTTGCTATTGAAATTACTTCTGGTTTTTTGCTTCAGATAGCTGTACCAGCACGTAACTTAGCATCACACAGGGTTTTTTTTTTTTCTATATTTAAAGGCTTCAAAAGTACTGTAGATATTGTGGTTGGTTTTTTTCCAGCATTATGTTTTGTGAGATGCTACCTTCTCTTCTCAGTTGTTTTTCTTAATTCAGTAGACTGTTCCATTTCACACTTAAAGCTTAACATCTGAAAAATTCCATATGCATATTTTGAACTTTGCAAAAGTTGATAAACTCTGTATGATATTGGTTAGGAAACTCAAAAGCAACCACCTCCTGCCACTGCTTTCCGAAGTTAAATGTTAAATTCTTTTGTAACTTGTATTTTTAAGGAGGAGAGAATCATAAATGGTCAATATACTACATCTCTAATAAATCTGTTGCTCCTTCAACTAAAGTTTTAACAATCTCTCTATTTTTGTCCATCCATTTTTTTAATCAAGTAGATCAAGAAATGTTTCACTAGAATCTTTTTCTTTCTTTCTCTCTCTCTCTTAACACAATAAAAACACTCGTGATTAATAATAAATCTTTCTGTGAGATTTGTAACAATAACTGTGTTGGAGCACATACCTTGACAATCATCATCATTTATATGAATCTCGGTCTCTCTCAGATTTAGTAGAATATCTCTGAAGATGTTTTTTTTAAGGGGTATTCTTGTTGGCTTAAAAAAAAAAAAAATCCACCAGATTTATGATGTGATCTCTCTGTAAATTGGGGTATGAGGTCATTTTTGGGGAATAAGTTTGTTTGCTTTCAAAAAGGTATCTTCTTTCTAGTTAAAGTAGTTATTTATTCTTCTTTATGAGCTTGTGATACATATATATCTTTCTCTGTACATGTGCAGGCTGTGTACGTATACATATGCGCACACGTGTACAACATATATATATACTTTTTTTTTGAATCATGGCAGGTGATCTTTAGAGGCGGGACTGAGTATGGATCATTTGAACGAGGCAACTCAGGGGAAAGAACATTCAGAAATGTCTAACAATGTAAGCGATCCGAAGGGTCCACCAGCCAAAATTGCGCGCTTGGAACAGAATGGGAGCCCATTAGGAAGAGGAAGACTTGGAAGTACAGGAACTAAAATGCAAGGAGTGCCTTTAAAACACTCTGGACACCTGATGAAAACTAATATTAGAAAAGGTAACACTTTTGATAATTCTGCATTAGAGAAATATGATTTTTAATATTTGGGGGGGAAAGCATACTTTTGCAGACTCTACTTCATTTATATTTCAGGATTAAATCTCCATTCTGCAATACTTTATATTCCCAAATCTGATATAAATCACATTTGGGAAATGTAAGCTTCATGCTTGGGTGGAGCATCTTGCTTTACAGGGTGGAGTCTGATTTTTGTTAAGGTAAAGGCTAGCTGCCCTGATTAAAGCAAATTCCTACATTGAAATAGAAGTAATATAATGCGTTAATTCTTTGAGTAAGTGTTGGGCTACGCAACGCAAAAATATGTAAGAGCAAATACCGAACCCCCAAAACGAATTCTCGCCTCTCCTCTTAATGATGGTCCAAGCTTGGAAGGGCAGCAGTATTTCCATAACAGTTGTAAGTTGGTTTAAAGGAGAGAGTGTAAATCTTTAGGTATCACATTGGAAAAGTCATTTATGATGTCAATCTTTGCAGTTTATTTTCTTAAGTACAATTCATTATTGAACAATGAACAACTTGGGTGTCATATTTTTCAGTGGCTGGTTTGCTGTAATTAGACATTTACACAAGGAAAAGGCACATTTAGAATCATTGATGTTTGTATATGAATGGCTTTTGTTTGCATTGAAAATGGACAATAATCTATAAATTTTGCTTCTCAAAATGTGTAGGTCTTTTTGACCATGTTCTGCAGGCTTGCTAATTTAAATCAAAATATGCTTCATGTAATTTGGCATTTGTTTTAAAACAGCCTCTACTTTTCTCAGTATAATCGGTGTATGTTTATAATCCAGATTTTTCTTGCATTTGCTAAGCAAAGTGCAAAATGCAACCAAGACTATTAAACGCACAAAGTTAGAAGGCAGAGGAATTTCATTGTGTCTGATGCATAACATTTATCGTACAATCATTTATTTTTTCCTCGGTTTGGCGAAAACAAAGAATATATTGATCCTGAAATGAACAGACACAGCAGTCCGTATTGTTAGATCTTTATCTATTAAAAATGGAAAAACAGCACTTCAGCAAATTCTTTGGCCTCTGCTCATGATTACCCTATTTATTGATTGTTTGCCAAGAATGTATGCATCTTAAGAAAGCCAGGGTAAGAGCATTAAAAATATAATTTATTACGGCTTTTCAAGCAGAGTGCATTAATATTGTACAGTGAAGCAGTGGGGCTATATAAAAAGGACTTTCTGACGCCTGCAAACATATAAGTTCCATAAATTCCTAAATAGGAGATTTCAGCTGTCTCTGGTATTATGTGATATTTGCACAGCAAACTTTAATGCCAGGACAGTTTTAGACAAGGATTCTACAGACTTCACTGCTCCTTATGGCAGACGTGCTGTTTACATAGACTCGTAAACCTTCAGCAAAAGCTCTAACACTGCCTTCAGGTTTAAATCATGCTGTATTTTTAGCAGCGAGCACTGACCAGTGCTCTCCCCTTTAATACTAGAAGGTTATGAAGTTGCTGCACTTGGAGGTCTTGCCAAGTACTAGCAGGAGTGATCAGCCAGCTGAGATTGTGCTCTCCTGTATAACATTTTTCACATTAACAGAAGGACACTGGTGACAGTTTGCTAAAAGATTTAGTGGCTTGATTTGTAGTCAGATGATACCTGTGTCACACTATCAGGATCCACCACTGATAATCTACACTGCACATCAAAATTTGGCCAGGAGATCCTCCCGTGGTGTTCGAAGTACCACACTTTCCAGAACACTGCAACTCACGGGGCTGTGTAACTGGCAGGAAGTGTGCTGATATGCAGCGAAGCACCTGTGCATTGCTAGTTTTGTGTCTGATCATAGCTTAATTTGTAGGAACTGATAAGAGAAAAAAAAAAAATGCGCTTTAGGTGGTTTTGAGTGTATCTGCACTGTTTGTTAAAATGAAGCTTGTTTACATTTTATCTTCAGGTATTAACAGTGAAACTACTTAAGAATTTTGAGCCCTTACTCTCAGTCAGATGGTAGTAGGTCAGACATCAATTGTGAGAGCCTGGAAAGAAAAAAAATCCATCACCTTTTTGCAAATGAAGCATGTGTGTGTTTATAGAAAACTCTCCATCGCTTAATTAAAACCAATGAAGAAATCGCCAGTTTTCATGTACTGCTTTTGCTTTGGTCTACTCTCCCTTCCTGACCAGTATCACTTAGATTTAAAAAAAAAAAAAAAAGACAAAAAAAAAAAAAGCTCCTTCCTGCACTACATAAATATTGGCAAGCTTTTAGTCTTGTCTTTCATGCTGAGCCTATTGGGCAAACTGGAGTGAGTTTGTGAGCTTTTCCAAGCGAGCCTGAAGGGGTTTGTTTGCCAGAGATTGACTCTCTGGTGAACAGATGTAGTTTAAATATACGTGCTTAAGAGGTATCTTTTTTTATCATGATTTCTTGCTATATGTTAGAGCACAAATCAAACTACATGGTCTTAAAGCATTTACCAGTTGTGAAGAGTAAATCTCCTTTTTCAACTCTGGCATGTCTGGTACACCTCAGCAGGTTAGGAGGTTTCCGTAAGTCTAGAGGGCAGTGGTTATAGAGGCATTAACATTGTAGGACTAATTGGAGTTCCTGGGTGCCCTGTTAAAATAACCCTTGTCATCATTTATGCTAAAGATGATACCCCTCTGGCAGGCTGCCATAAGACAGTTCTGTACATCTGCTTTTAACCCTTTTGCTTTCTGTCATTAAGAGATCCTAACCTGCGCCGCTGGAGACAGCGGGACAGGCCGGGGCCTAAAACCACGGGTCCGAGGTCATCGTGTCATCTGCATCTGTCTGGGAGGCCGGGAGGGATTTTCACAAAGTCTAGAAATCTGATTGCCAGCAGAGACTTTGTCCCTAAAACAGCTTGGGTTATTTGTTACTTCTCTGTCTGTTGTAAAAAGGAAGGAGAAGGAAAAAAAAAAGGGGGGCAAAAAGAAAAATGTTGTTTGCTTAATGTGCTGTGCCGTTTAGGGAAGGGTTTGTCGTATGATGCTATGAAACTGGAAATTAGTAATTACTTTCAGGCATACCAAAATAGCAATGAATACCAGAAATGTGGAACGTAAAGTGCAGGAGGCAACAACAACAAAAAGCCCGAACTGCAGGTATGCTTCTTAAAACAGCACTGAAATCATGATTTGTTTCTTAAAGATGTGAGGGAAAGTAGTGCTCAAGTGCACTCGATGAATGAAGCACGAATTAGTGTTAACTTTTGCCTCGCTTCCTTGTGCGCTCTCTTCAGAGAAAATGTGTAACACGTAAGGTGATTTGTTGTTGATGTTGAAGGCGATTAAATGTTTTTGGCAGGACTGAGAAAGTTTTAATGTTAATGAACAAAATTATGTAGCTGGTACTAAAATGGCTTACAGTGAAGACATCTGCAGTATGTATTTAGGTTCTCATGCTGCCTGCTACTCACAACAAATCAGGCAGGACAGAGAGAATCAACTTCTCTTCAGTCAACCTTGTTATTTCTATAGAAGGTAATTCTTTAATCTGTATCCGATCAAGCGAGATAAATTTGCATTTCTGCTTTTCAGAGAGATGTGTGTTTTGTAGAACTTACTCTTTTTTAAGGGAGGGTGAGGGGAAAGGACTGAGGGAATATGTTTATCAAATATTTGCAATGATTCTTGATGCCTCCTCTGCCTGTTCGTACAGGTTTTATTTACATAACGCTGTATAGACCCACCTACTCCACTATAACTCAAATTTAATATGTTAAATTTAATTTTTTTTAATAGGAAGTATGCTTCCAGTTTTCTGTGTAGTGGAACATTATGAAAATGCCATTGAGTATGATTCTAAGGAGGAGCATGCAGAATTTGTGTTGGTGAGGAAGGATATGCTTTTCAACCAACTGATTGAAATGGCACTGCTATCACTTGGATATTCTCACAGCTCTGCTGCCCAAGCAAAAGGTAAATAAGATTATAAAATTGTACGATGAATTATGTTTGTTTGTGGGGTCCTGGGGGAGGGGCAGGATTTCTTTCAGGAATGCAGTGTAGGTTTTACTTCTTAAACTTCCTGCAGATTCTATCTGCAATTTTTTTTTCTTGGTCTATTTTTGTTTAGTTAGTGCACGTTTTGTTTGTGGGGAATGTAGAGGTAGATTCTTTTTGTTTAAAGAAAAAAAAAGACTTCAACTGAATCATTAGTATGCTTATTGACCTTAATAATCTGCTCCACTGAGGATCCACAAGGAAGTGTAAAGCATATTTGAGCAGATGGACTGTTGAGAGTCAACTTGCATTTATGACTGAATATCCAGCTCTGTTTCTTTTATTTTGTTCCTGATGGTTTTATAGACTGCAAAGTATTTTTTTTTTTTTATGCAGATCTTGCATTGCAAAATCCCCTATAACTTATTAAGAGGAATGCTAACTATTATATCATGCCCTATTGAATTCATGGGAACTTAGGAAAATACACTTCTATACATATTAAAAATTCTCTACTGTAATGCATTTGTATAATTTAATAATATAGATAAAGCATATTCTTGATGGTGTGTGGGTGGGGGTTTTTGGAGGGGGTGTTCTTTTGTTTTGCCAGATTTAATAGGCTAGAAACAAAGGTGGTGATCCTGTTAAAATCAGATATTTCTTTTGCCCCTAGGAATTAACAGGTAAATTAATTTTTTTCAAATTTTCCTGCCCTTCTTGCCCTTCTCCCCCCGCCCTTCCCTCCAAAAATAAAAATCCCGCAGGGCTTATCCAGGTTGGGAAGTGGAATCCAGTTCCACTCTCCTATGTGACAGATGCCCCTGATGCTACAGTAGCAGACATGCTGCAAGACGTGTATCATGTGGTCACACTGAAAATCCAGTTACACAGGTAAGTTGCATACCAGTTCTGGGACATGAACTGTTACTTGTCTGCTCTTACTGTTAATAATGCTTGTACTTAATTCCCACTGTGCTGTGTGCTCAAAGTACAAAGGCTTATCTAAATTCCTTTTTAGTTACTCGAATTCTTCTTTAACTTACCGTATACTATTGCAGAAAACTTTTATAGCTCTGATACATAGATTTTCTTTGGATATCTCATTAAAACTATATTGCATTTTAGTCAATTAAATGATGCATTACAAGAAGGCATTTTACATAAAGTTTACTTAAGAGAAAAATATTTTTGCATATCATGAACAGTACCATCTGTGTGCATTTTGTAAAAGAATGACTTGCTCACACTTATTGTTGCTGTCTAGGTTCTTAAATTTCACGGTAACAAAAAAGGAAAAAACGGTTAATATATTAATGCTTTTCATGATCAGTCGTGAGAAAGCATTACACCTTAAATTGTTTTACCAAGCGCATCAGAGCAGGAAGGTAGAAGTAACATGAAAAAATAGTCGCCACATGCAGCTGATGTATAATTCATGCATCAATACAGCAGATGTGTTGTATAAAGTAATTAACTAATCGGAACAATCAGGAGACCGAGAGCAATCTCCAGATGCATCTGCTTGATGCGCAAAATGAAATCTGTCTGTCTTAAAGGAATGTTCTGCAGCAGGATGCAATCTTGTAATAATCCCTTTTCTAATCTGTGTTTCAAATAGTTGCCCTAAACTAGAAGACTTGCCTCCTGAACAATGGTCTCACACAACAGTAAGAAATGCTCTGAAGGACTTACTGAAGGATATGAACCAGAGTTCATTGGCCAAGGAATGTCCCCTTTCACAGGTACTTAGCATAACATGTAATAAATAATAAAGCACTATAGGCAACGCTGATGTGAGATTTGAGATTTCTACAGACTGTAGCAAGCAGTACCCATGGAGTGAATCTGCCAAAAATGCAAATTCATTTGACCACTTCATGATCTTTATAAATATGCCTGATTCATTTTGAACATAGTCTTACAACGTTCCCCATGGGGAGTCGTGAAAGGTTGTTTACACCACACTAAAATTGTCTCACAGCAAACTGGATTTTAACTGGTTTTTGTCTTCAGTCTTTGAACTGCTTTTGATGTAACTACTTTTTTCAAGCACATGTGTTCAAGATGTTAAAAGGCTCTTTACTTACTGCTGTCAAAAGTACTATTGAATCTGAATGCTTGTTAGATAACCTACAGTAGTTTTAAATGCTAATTCATAAAATGAGACAGTCTTTGGCATGCTGTATGAGAAGGGAATAAAGAATAAAGCTCTTTGGATGATGTGTTGTTGTTGTTGCAAACAACCAAAGGAAAATCAGCCATTTATTAGTTCTAATCAAAATATACCTAAACAAAAATGAAACCTCAGTTTAAGCATTCCTAAATATTGAACTGATGCTTTCCTCAAGCCTTAGTCGTATTGTTCTTTTTTGCCATCCTTTTTGTCATTCTTTTGTCAAATTACTGTGAAAGGAACAACTTACTCTTCTACGCAGTGCGGTGTCCAATGATGCTGCGGTGGGAACACCATATTTATTTTTACCTTTTAATTTTTAAAATGTATTTTGTTGTGGTGCAGTGGAGACAAATTAAGTATATAAATAACTGATGATAGTTGTTGAGGGCAGGGGGAAAGAAATGAAGGAAGTCAAAGGTATTTTTATGGGGAATTTATTTCTCTTGCTCAGAATGTTGGAGTCTTTGTCTCCAACAGACTTCAGTTAATCTATAGAGGACTACTCTGTCTGTCTTTTCAGTGGATGTATTAGCAGGCTGTTTTCTCATCACTTTTTTTCCCCTATGGTTAGATTGTTTTCAGTGATGTGGCTCCAATGTAGGAAGTTTTGAAGTGGAAATAATCAAAATTATCTTCACTGGTTGCAAACCATTCCAGTAATATGTCTGCAAAGTTATCTTGTATGTACCTACTATAAAAGCATGTGAGCTTTTACATTGCTGTCTTATGGGCGCTGCAGATAACTTGGTCATTTTTCTTCATGTTAATCTAATAGTGCTAGTTTTTAATGGATACTGATAGAAAGCAAGTAAATTTTATTGAGATGGAATATTTTGTTTCTATTTGGACATTGTATTTCACATAGCAGCTTCGGTATATATGTAGATGATGCAATGATAAAGCAGAAAAAAAGTTTTTAAATGAAAACTTAACTAGAGACAATTCAATAATTACATTCTTCTGAAAAGTTGTTTTTAAACTCTATTGAATTTTTATATAATAATTTTAATGGACAAAACTCATCTTGCCTAATAACAGCTCTTGAAGTCAGCAATTGAGGTGACCAAACCCCCATATGACAGAACTCTGATTTGTTTACCGTTTTGCGCTTCTTTGTAAAAGAATATACTTAAAGCTGTGAGCTTCCTTCCATTGCTAAAAGCATGTTTATTTTGTCATCTCTGACTTCACCAATGCTGTGGTAGTTGGGTTGCAAGAATTTAAATAGCTTCTGGTTTTGTTGGGTTCTTTTTTAAGATCAAATCACATAAAGCTCAAAATACATTTATTCTTAAATTTTGGAAAACCAAGCTGTTACAGTAGTTATTCAGAATGAGTCCATCAGTCAGTCTAAATATTCCCATTTGCCTCCAGGAGCTTGAGGGGAAAACGTGTTGATCGGACATTGTCCTTTTCACAGGACTAAACTGATCCAAATGCTTCCCCTATTTGCCTAACTATTAACTTATCCTATATTGCTCCTATGGAAAGGACACCGATCTAAGAGTGTCTGTGTTTTCTTAAACATGTCGAATTTGAGGAATTGTCTTGCAGCAGTGTGCTGCTGCAAGAGGTGAGAAGTGAGAGCCAGACGGAGGTCAGGAGGCAATGTTTGCTTAGAGGGCCCGTCAAAATGCCAGCGTGAGAGACTTCCGAGACCACGATGAAGTGGTCTCTCCTGTTATGTACTTCCATGGGCATAGGTAATGCCATGTGAAGTGCTTCATCACAAATGCAAACTAATGCGGTGACACCGTACCATAACTTATTAACACTGTTATGGATATAATTTATTAACCACAGAAAAATGACTCAAAGTGGAAACGAGAGTAGTTATCGTTTTCTGTCACTGTCATTAGTGGTGCTTGGTTTTGTGTAGGTACAGAAGCATTTGTTGTACAGTATTTAAGTTGCCGTGCTCAAGGCATGGCATCTCCGAAGCCCCGTTTAAGCATGGAACACTGAGAATCATCATCCTCACTTAGAATTTACTGTATTTGATTAATCTTGCATTTAATGTAATAGAAACTGCTCATATTTATTCAGAATACTGACATTCTGTGTTGTGCAAAAAACTCAAACTATTTTTATAGTGCAGATATATTTAGTGGCTTGAAAATACGTGAGCAAATGAACTTTTAGATCCAGTTTGTCTTAATTACGGAGTCTTGAAAACTTAATAGCATCATCTACTTGAGTGAGAATGTGGGTTTTCTTTTTTTGTTTGTTTGTTGTTGGTTTTTTTTTCCTTTTAATTCTTTTGCCACTTGTTATCTTGTCCAACTAAAACCTCCGGGTGCATAGGTATGAACTCTTCATGCCTTCCTCAGTAAAATGCCAGTGTGACTCATACTCTCATTAGGAGAGTTGAATACATGGTCTCTTTTGAAGCTGCTGTAATTGTCTCGTGCTGTGACTGCTGTGGCCACCCCAAAGGCCAGGTTTCTCACTCGCTACATGAGCCTGCATCGCGGGGAATCCCTGTTGACATGACTTGGAGTCCTGGGGACAGACCGAAGCAAATGCATGGCTCTGAAATGCCGTGAAATCACAAGCATCCATTCAGAGGTTTAGTCTCAAACTTTTGGTATCAAGCAGGCAAGGTAAAAGAATGCTGCAAATTTTGCATGGGAAAGCCAAGCCTGTTCTGAATTATGCGCTGCAGTGTGTATTGTCATGCTTTACCTCAGGTTTGCAGATTTTATGGCTAGAGACTAGCAGCGTACGCAGATGCTGGGTGAAAGATGTCTCATGTTTGATACGTGATACTATTTCTGCTTCCTCTCCAGACCTCTTTTGATGGGGAAGGCAACTTGGAATTTAATCTAAGGCTCAATTTTGGGCCATCTTGTGCATTCCATTAAATTGGTGTATCTCATGAGTGGCTTAGATCTCATTTCCCTCCTGTTTTGGCTCCTTAGTCTCCAAAGGGTTGTAAAGAGATTGTTCTACCATCAGTCCTTATTTCCTTGCACAGAAGTTCTACTCTACCTCAGTCAGTTGGGAGCTGCTCTAAAGTGATCAGGCAGGCAGTCCTGTTGCATTTATTTATTTAATGTTAGTCCTTCCATCTCTCTATTCAGCCTTAGTCCTAGCGTTTTCATACCTCATTTTCACAGTTTTGCTGTTTTGTTTTTAATGCAGGAGACTCTCATTACTTCCACAGTTAACGTAACTGAAATACTATAGCCCCTATTTATACTGTTATTAACAAGGTTTTATTGTGGTTTGTCCCTATCAAATTATTCTCTCTCTCCCTCTCTCCCTGTGTATATACATAGTTAGATAAGCTTTTGAGGGAGAGGAGAGCAACATGGACTATTGGCCATAGAAAAGGCTGGAAATTCCTTTGATAATTCTAGAACAAACTCACTGTGTGCAGTTGAACATCTAGATGTACCCCTTATCTTTAGTTCCTGTAACCTTTTCCATGAAAGGAAGATAACAAGTCACCTACCAAATGAAGAGATAGTAGAGATTAATTAGTATCTGGGCACTGCTTTGAAAATATGGCAGTGATCAAATGACATTGACTTTCCCACTGGTATTATCTCACCTGAATTTTTTTTACAAAAAAGATTTCCTAAATGATAGCTGGTAGTGTTCATGAATAGGCTTGGGGTTTTCAATTTTACTATTTTTTTTTTTCTTCACTTTATCAAACCACTACAAAAGCACTTCTGAAGCGAGGTATTCATTCTCTCTTCCCCCCCTAGTATAGCTAGTCTAAGCCTCAAGACAACCAATAGCCAGTGCATTATAGATGAGAAAATTCAGGCCTGATGTATAATAGAATCTGAAATCTCATGGCTTATTATGGTGTAGAATATTTTTTTAGGGGTCATGCAATATTTCCATGGAATATATCCAGGGTCTGTGTTATTACTAGATTTAAAGATATTTGTGTGTGCACACATGAACAGTCAGTAATGACTTTTACCTAATTTTTCTCTTGATGATGAGAGAATGGCTTTTTTCCAGTTACAGGGATATACACTAGCATTCCGTAAAACGTATGCGTGCACAGAACAAGTGCTGGTATGGTACTGAAGTCTGAATAGTTTTGCACTTGTGATAAATATAGCTATACTGACTGCGTTTTGATCAAAATTCAGTACTGTGGTGAATGATTGTCTGCATCTGACATGGGCACAATATAGATCATATGCTTTCCTTTTTGTTCAGATACACTGCCCTGCTGTTTTATGCAGACATGGCGCAGACTTCGTATGATCTGGCTGAGATGCCAGACAGAAAGATTATTCAGAACGTCAGTGTTTCTCAGTTCACCTGACCTGAAGGCACCTGGCCATCATAGCAACTAAGCAGTGTGACAGAAGTCCTCTCGCGTTTCCTCGCTGCTTTTCCTTGCCCCATCCCTTCAAAATTCCAACCCCCAAAAAGTTGCATTTGCTAAAATTAAAACTTCCAGACCTATAAATAACCAAGGAATGAGCTATTAAGACTTGCCAAAATGCATACATTTTATGAGCAATTTTTAATTTATGCTTTACAAAACTGAAAGGTGTTTTTTGCCCTCCCCTTACGATTTTACCTGCCTAGACC